CCCATTCGAAGCACTCTGACTCCCTGAAGAGCAAAGGCTCTTTTTCTTTGAATAGTTGAACAACCTGGATTCATTGTGTAGCATTTTAAGTTTCTACATGGTTGTGCATTTAACTTTGCGTTGGATTATCTTTTATTGTCATCTGCATCTGTACATATCTTCTGCAGATTATACCTATTATAGACGAGTCATTTCATTTGGTGATTTCTCTACATGTCCTGAAAACTGTGCTTTGCATGCAAATACTATAAAGAATCTGCTTCTGGTTTTACTGTCACAGTAGAAATAAGGTGCAATTCCATCAAGGGCTGTAGAATTATAATGGTAAGTGTCTGGTACTAGGAAGTTTAGGAGCCAGCTGTGGCTGCTTCTCTGGGAAGTCAGGATATACTCCCAGTTACACTGAAGAAATTCAGAGATTTTGGAATACTCTAAGCATTTTTTCATCAGTAAACAGCATGCCCTGGACTCAGACATGTGTCTACTGAATGTGTAAGCTCAATCTTTGCTTCAGCAGTTGAGACTGCTGAGCAAATGTGTCTCATAGGCCTTCTAGTTAATTTGCAATTTTCATATGCAAGCCTTAAGAATGTGGTAGCATGAGTCACTCACCATCCTTGTACAGCACTAAAACACAGTGCCTCCAATTTAAGACTATTTCTATTGTGTACTGTGTTTACATCTTTCCTTGGGATGCTGAACACTGAGCAGTTACTGCTCTTATACTGCTTAGCAGACACGTACCAGTAACTTGTGCCACCTGTTTTGAAGAGAATCCCTTGGGATGGAAGGTACTACTGTTGAACAGGGAACAAGAAAGTTTGCTCTCTTATAGACTGTTCCAAATGTATTTTGAAATATATGTCACTTATTGGCTGGTAATTATGCTTAAAAGCTTAAGGAATCTGCCATATAACTTTCTTGGAGAATTCAGATGATCCAGTGCCAAACTGATAGACCTCACTGAGAACTTTGGATATTGTTTGTTGTTAGTTCTGCACTAGTGTTTATTCTTGTGTCTCTGGTGATACAATCATATTGATTACAATAATAGTAAAGGTAGCACAGTCACATGTTTTCTGGTTTATGTGACACCTTTGTTTTCCAAATTTCTGATGCAGTAGCACTTGAATTCTAACTGTTAGATCGAGGGCAGAAAGAGTCTTCTTTAAATATGCCAAAGAATTGTTTAATGCTTGCAACTCTGTCAGTAATTGTCTAGTCCATAGCGAACAGCAAGTGTTTGCAGCATCTTTCCTCATTCCTAAAAGAGGCACCTGGAGAGTCTGGATGAGTTTTTCCAAACTATATGTGAAGATTTTTTGTGTAGTCGAAGGGAAGAGACAAGTACCATGACCAGTGTAAGACATGGAGGCAGTTCACAGGTGTCACATACCTCAGGTTTGGATGATAAAGGTAGAACAAATAGATCCCAACTAGTGGGGAAAAAAGGTGTTTTTCATTTCTGTGAAATATTTTACCCGAACAGATTGCTACAGGAACATTCAAATGTAATGACAAATTGACTTTATAATTTTAAATGTAATGGAGAACATTTTTTTTTTCCTCTGTCTTTTGTTTTGTTTTTTTGAAAACACCACTAGAAAAGTTATACAGTGCTGCTGGTGTATTATGACCAGCTGTAGGGGTGAATTAATTCTGTCTTCAAGATCTAACCAGGAATGTAACATACCATCCTAAAGGCATTAATCTGGTAAGAAAAAATACAGTTCTTCCTTCTTTTCTGAATTTTATGCAACTTAGAAAAATATCTTTGTAGCCAGTTTGTGACAGTTGTCCCTTTCTTATTCTCTGTAACAATAACATAGCACATGGTGATTGTGATAAACCTATATGCTTTACTTTTTTTAATCTGTATGCTATATGTTTTTTTTTCACTCCACTGAGATAAGGTATGTGTGGAGGAGTGTAGAAGAGCCCTTTGCAGAGTGACCCCAGCCAGGCTGGGCTAGCTCAGGTACCAAGTGCATGACAGCCGGAGCGGGAGCAGGGCACAGAAGAGTTTAGTGTTCTCACGTCACCCAGGATCTCAGAGGGTTTTTTTTGTTGTTGTTTGTTTGGTTTTCTTTTTTTTATTAAGTGTGAACAATAAATCTTGACTATCTCTTAATCCTTGATTAATCACTGAGTTTTCCCAAATTGTAAATGCTCCCAGATAGCAGTTCTACACTCCAGCTGTAGAGGTCACAGACTCAGAGAGGTTTGGATGCTACAAAGCAACACAGCCCTCCAAGGTGGGCTTGGAACTCCAATGCTGATCTGAAGACACAGGCATCCTGGTAGCAGCTACAGCCCAGGGCTTGCTGCAGGAATGGGGACATGCCCATGAGAGGGAAACCACTTCACAAAGCTTGGCTCAAGAAAACTCTGGAATTAAGAAACAACCAAGCTGCGGGTCCTTTGTAATTTCTGTGATTGTATTGGGTACCGGGAGCCAGGGCCAGGAGGTGAGTGCAACACAATGAGGAAAATAAGTTTGTCTTTTTGTTTTTCAGAGCTGTGTATGCCGAGGTAAAAGTCCCTGCTTTTGTGATGGCATGAAAGGCAGTAAGGTAAGAACAAAGACATTTTTCCTTTTTTTCAGATTAGCTTATACCTGAACATTGTTAATACATCAGCTGAGTTGATATAGTGAGTGAATTTATTGTGTGATGATATTCTGTCAGCAGAGCCTACAGAGGGTTGTAGAAGGAATACATTACCTTAAAAAATTCTGTTAAAATAACTCTGGGGACACTGTTTAACTAAGATGACTTTTACTTTTTGTTTTTTTTTAATGCCTCATTTTGTCTACAGCACTGCGTGATATTTGAGCACCAGCTGCAGAATAACTGGCCACAGCACCAGGTCCCTTTCACAGACTCCTAACAAATGCCCACAGATATTGTTACCCTGGCAGCAGCTCTCCTGTTACAAACTCCATAATGCCACCAAGAGTGTCGCGTTCAGTGCTTTTTTCTTTCCACCTCTGGACCTTGTCCTCCTCCTCCCCTTTTCCAGTTCCTGAAGGAAAGCTGCATGCACCAGGAGCAAACAGATAACTCTCCTGCAGACTGAGAGAGGGGATGAGTTTGTGGGTCCTGATCACAAATACCTTGCCAGCAGTGAAGGAACAGCATTGAATCCATCAAAGTAACCAAGCCACAGCTCTGCCTGTTGCCAACAGGCCCTTGGCAGAGCCTCGGAGCAGCTTTTAGACCAACCTGAATTTCCCAAATGCCAAAAATTCTTTCAAACTCCTGCTTGTAGTTGGAAAAACAACTGATTCAGAAATGAAAGGGGCATTATTAAAGAAGGCGTGGTTGTAATCCAGGCTAACTGTGGGCACACTGATTGACATACTAAACCTTATCAGGAGATTCCAGATGTCTCTATAGACTTAGGATTGTGATTAGTCCTACTGATCAACACATCTGTCTGGTAAAGAATTACAACTTTCTTGAAGTGCTTTTATTACAAAACAAAACAAAACCAAATCAAACAAAAAAAAACACCAAATCACATTGCAGGACAGTAAACACTGCTGGTCTTGCTTCTCAGAAGCTCCATATCAGTGTTGTAGAAGAGTCCTCTCAAATATCTTCATAAGTGGGCAAGGAGAATGCTCATGTCTAGTAAAAATCTGTGTCTGGAGGACAGCCCATGGCTTGCTCCAGTGGGGAGGAAGGTCGAGGACCGCTGTCGTTTTGCTGTGCGTGAGGACCACGCTCCCTCCTGTGGCACATCTTGGTGTTGCGCCAGCCTTTTGTGCATCTCCTGGGTCGCTGCTGCATGACACAAACGATTTGTTATTAAAAGCTATGCCCGTTTATGATACAGATATCACAGACGCTTCATACTGCGATTATTATTTTGATTCGTGTTAAAATGTTCGGGGATTATATTATGTCTTTTAAATTCTATTTATTTATTTATTTTGTAATTCAGAAGCTATTTAAAATCTGGTGAGTTTGTGGGATCTTGAGGGGTAAGAATTGGTGGAGGGTCAAGCTAAGGTACTTTGGCTTCTCCTAGACTTCTTTTGGATCCTGTCTCGTAAACCAAATAATGAGATACTGGAACTTCCACGCAGCAAAATTTCAAATGCTTTTTTGTATGTCTCCCCTGATAAAGCAATAGGAAAATTGACTCTGAGAGAATCAATAACCCCTTCTGCTCTCTCCCATGGCATGCTGTGATGTGAAAGGTGTTGAATACTCAGCTCTTCACTGATGTAAAACTGAGCATTCTAAATTGCTGCTATCTAAAGAGCTGAAACACCTTGCCTGTGTTTAATACGTCAGCTGAGTTGATATAGTGAGTGAATTTATTGTGTGATGATATTCTGTCAGCTGAGCCTACTGAAGCTCTTTAATTTAAACAAGACTTACATCTTTGTTATATTTAACTAAAAACTGTAAATGCCCCTTCCACTGTAACTTAGCCTCCCGTATTCTGTTTGTGTAGCTTTAATCTTCTGTATTTCCTTTACGTGGTTTGGTTATTTGAACTTGACCTTAAAAAAATGCATGAAAAAGTGATTTGGTGTCTTAATTTCTGAGGCTTAGAACAATTTCTAAAAGTTGTCACTTAAAGCAAAGTTCTGTTCTGTTCTGTTCTGTCTGAGTGATTCTGTTGCATTTGACTCACACGGTTTCTTTCCATGACTTGCATGAAGGATTTGGATTTTAGATCCTTGTATTGAGAATTTGGAACTGGCCCTGCTGTGCAGCAGCAGCTATTAAGTCTGCCAGCTACAAATAAGGGCTGCTCTGATGGATTTGTGTGGCTTGTAGGGACTAAACATGATATAGGAATACTACCAAGGGATGCCTTTTAGCTGCTTCTTAAACATTTCATGCTGGTGATTAACTTCTGTGCTTTGCAAAATCTATGTACTGTTGTCTCCTGATAACTTCAACCATTCCTATGGGCACGCTACTTCAGTGCTACCGTGTAGCCTAGACACCACATAGGTGGGGCCACAAAAACAGGTCAGTATGGAGTATGGACAAGGGTAATCTATATGACACAGTACCAGATGGATCTATAGAAGTGAGGAAGTACTGAGACTAATTAATGCCTTGGAAATAACTTAATCAAAAGGAGAACTCATGGATATTTTAAGAACTTCATTCTCTTAATGTTTACAGGGTGAAAAAGGCTTTCCTGGTGTTCCAGGTCCACCTGGTCATAGAGGCTTTTCTGGTCCAGAAGGACCTCCAGGGCCACAGGGACCAAAGGTAGGTGTGTATGGGAGACAGAGAAACTACTGTGCTTGACTGTGAAAGTGAGCTATGACTGGATAGAGAGTTCTATTTCAAAAACACAACCCAAACCATTTTCAGAGTCTCCTGTTTTATCATCACCAGCTGCAATGGTAATTTTTGACTGAGTTGAAGCAGCTGGTAGGAACATGCCCCTTCCAACCCAAACCACTCTGTGATATATCCCCTGTAAACACTGAAAGGGAGGGCAAGATGCCACCATTTATGCAAGTTGTATTAAATGCCTTTTTGCTTTCGTGTCTGTAATAGTCATTTGATTTATTTGTATAGCTTTGTGTGCATGTGCTGGTATTGGTATTAAAAAATATTGCATGTCCTGTTGACATATATGTGCTTTTTCTTAATTAGATTGAAATATGTTGTTTTCCACTTGTGATCTAGGGTTCTCCAGGGCTTACAGGCCTTCCTGGACCCAAAGGTGTACGAGTAAGTATTTATATTTTAAACAAAGTCGTAAGTATTACACATCACCCTAAATGCCAACTTGATTCAATAATTTGTGAAAAATAAAACTGAAACCTTATGTATGCTTTCAAATTATTTTAAAAATTTATGACACAGAGTATGCACACACATTACGTATTTTTTAGAACTTTTGCTTTTTTGCCACACCTTATGTGCAGGGTTATTGCTGTATATATTTAGTACTAGGGTGTGCTGCCAAAATGTCAGATTAGAATTCCTTGAAGGGTCCAGTTGAGTTTTTTTCCTGTGGGCAAACCCAGTCTCTGTTAGCAGTACGTAAGCTACCATCATACTTGCTTCACAGGCGGGAGGGTGAAGGAAATTATGATCTTTTGACAGAATTGTACATGCTTTCATTCTTCGTAGGAATCAGAAGAAAAACTGCATCATGAGCTTTTGCTTAATGGTTGTAATATTATTCCTCTGTTTTTCTGTCATTAGGGCGTCCCAGGAATACCTGGATTTTCAGGTCCCCCAGGCCTTCCAGTAAGTAAAACCAAAACTGATTTAACTATTTCTCTCGTGCCAGTCTTCAGTACACAATTATCCTCAGCCCGCTGTGCCCGCTCTAGTCTCCACATCAGCATTGTCTCTGCCGGTCAGCCTGCAGATAAAAATCTTGACATCAGCAATTCTTACTCGTTGTAATGATTTAAGAACACATTGTAATCTGTCAGGTCTTGTGAAACACTGCTCCAACATAAACTCTTTTGGTGTTGCTGTAGGGCAATATGAATGTGCAAAAACAAAGCTTGTGTCAATTTTGCACTTCTTTTTAGGGTGCGCCGGGAAGCGACGGCCCCCCTGGGCGCGCGGGTGTTCCGGGGTGCAATGGCACAAAGGTACAAACCAAGCCAAATGTTATGGACGTTGTGTTTGGCTATGCTTTGGAATGGCCAAAAAGCATTCTAAATTTTCCCCCCAATATACAACAGCTTTGTTTTGTTTTGGTTTGGGACTTCATCAACTAGGAAAAATTTGAATCGTGAAGCCAGAGGAAGGAAAATTGCTGCCTTTCTGTGTAAGAGAGATAATTAAATAATACACGTTAATGGCTTTTGCTAAAAAGTTAAGAATAATGTTTGATATTTTGATAGGTAAAACTTGTTCCATTAAACCCAGAAGACCTTATCAGTTTTGTCCAGCTTGTCCTTCAATTGAAGTAGGTTATAGAAGAGACAGTTAATTTTATTTCACCAGTATTTAGCTTGCAGTTGACAATTATAAGTCCTGAAAGCAACTGAAAGAAAAAGCTTGATGTCAAGTACAGATTTACTAGTTTTTCTTTGCTCTGTGAGCAACCACTTCCAGTGTTCTGAAGGAGGGAGTCAGAAGAACACCTAGTACAGAAAATCATACATTTCTAGTGAAACAGTGAACTGATGAGGCACAGCTAGTGAAGGCTGATGGCTGGGATAGCCATCAAGACCCACGCAGTGAGGCAGTGCCCCTTCCAGCAAGCACCGTGGTATTGCAGTTCACAGTTTCAGTGTGATAACATAAAACCCTTCTTTTGTCATCACAATCACTAAAATCAGACCAAATAATAAACAATAACATGCATTAACAGTCACTGTTACTACTTACAGGGTGATCGAGGTTTTCCAGGCCCTCCAGGCAGACGAGGAGCTCCAGGAGTTCCAGTAGGTGTCTGTGAAATTCATGACTGTGCAAGCTCCTGCTACATGCAGCCACACACTGAAGGAGTGTAGAGCCCCGTGTTAGCTGGCATTGACCACAGTATGCCTGTTTCTGTAGTGTGAGAGCTGTGTGCTAAAGAAACCAAAGTTAAAAGCAGTGCCTTACTTGCTGCCTCATCTTCTCAGTCGAGTGCATGCAAATTCATTGACTGGTCTTAACTCTTCAGTGCCTCTGGCGGTGCTCATGAAAATTTGCCAGTCCCACCGCCAAAGGTGTGCAATATGTATTTAGTAGGCTGCAGTTTCAGTTCATGCCTGAGTGTCTTTGAGGAGACAGCTTGATTAAGTCAATAAGAACCAGAAATTAAACTGAGAAGTTCTCATTCTGGGTGCATTGCTTAAGCCAAGGATTTCTTTTCTCTGTAGAAATGTATTTTTAAAAGAGACTTCTAAACAAATGGAAAATGAATGCTCTCTGTCAAGTTCCAGTGGCTTCAAATCTAGTAACTTCTAAACATGATCTTTACCAGCAATCCTAAGTTTATTTATGTCTTTATTAAGTTTCTTCAAAACTTTTCTCCTTTCACTTGTGGAGTTGTAACTGTGAGACTGGACAATTTTTTATCAATATGTCCTTTGTTCTAAAACTGAAATTTGGCACAGCAAACATATACCTGCCTAAACACAGTGTCCATGAAAATAAATCTTTTTAAGAGCACTGAGGTCAGAGAATATGTAGAATGTGTCTTTTCAACATTGTCTCTTTCAATCTGATGCTTTCTTAGTATGATTGTTTTTCTCCCTAGGGTGTTCCTGGCATCAAAGGAGAGAAGGTCAGTTATTTACACTATATTGCATGAAACGTTTATTAGTGAACAACAATTTGTGTGTATGTTCACTGATGGAAAAGAGTTCTTTATGTCCCCATTAATTTGAAACAAAGGTTTACCTTTCAGAATAAACAACCACAAACTTTGGTGCTTATTCTGTACTGGTTGCATTCACCCTACGTTACAAAAGAGTATTTGATTTTTTTTTTTCCTTTAGCTATTATTATTGCCTGTAACAAATTTTACCTTTTCAAGCACACAAAGAATTAAGCCCCTCCTTCAAGTAGTTTGTGAATTAATCTTGAAAACTGGAGATTGCACTAGAGAGTATTTTAAAGACATAAAAAGTACCAAAAGTACATGGAAGGTCAGGACTCTGAGTAATGAAGGAATTAAAACTCCTCTGAACAGAGAACTGGAATGACTAAAGAAGATACATTCTGTTTAATGAAGTCTTTTATAAAGGTAGAACTATCTGTGGTGTAGTTGCCTTCATTATGCAATTCTGAGGTAGCTTATTTCCCTGCAAACTGTGTTTGAAGATTTGTTCCACTATGGAGTTCTACAGCACAATTTTTTATCTTCCTTTTTGTCTAATTGTCCAGGGGTATCCTGCAGATGGATATAGCCAAGAATATGATGTAAAAGGTTGAATGCCTGGACTTCAGGTGATTCAGAATTCATTCATACTGTGAGATCTGTATAAACACATCTATATATGCACAAGTATTTAAAAATAAATATATTAAAATTTTACATATAATGTGTGTATATTAAAATAATGTTATAATTTTAATGTATTACATATTTTATATCAATATACAGTATTTTTTACCATTATCTCACTAATTTCTAAACCAGAAAATAATTCTATGTCTAAAAGTGCAAAAATTCTGCATGAAGTAAAATTGAACAGATTAGACCAGCTCAGCTTGTAGAGTGCTAAGAAGGGACAGTATGATGCATATTTTAAAAATGGAATTTAATAGGAGAAGGCAGAGCAGACTTTTTTTTTGACTGTTACAATAAATGGAGGACATTAAAAGGAAAATACTTTTTTTAAAAAAATTTCCCTTTCTTTGAAAATGCAGCTTTAAAGTATAGCATTCATAGCATAGAATATTGGAAAGATGAAAGGATGGCCAGCCAGCAGCAGGGCTAGATAGATTATGAGGATGTGCACTGTTAAACAGGACATACATCCTCAGCTAAGCAGTTCAGTTGTAGAACAGATATGTTTTCTCATGTTTCAAAACACTGGTGAAGCAGTGAAGAGGAATGATACTCATGTCTTATCCTGAGACATGAAAAGGAAATGCTCTTACTCAGTTCACTGTGCTTTGCTTATAAGGTTGGCAGAAGATTTATTCCTGTCTCCTTTTTGCTATGCAGGGTGCCCAGGGTGCTCAAGGATATCCTGGGGAACATGGACCACAGGGCCCTCCAGGAGCTTCCGTGAGTATAAACTGATGTCTGCCTTGTTACTTTAGCCTTTGATTTTCCCAGAAACCTGTGGAATTACACAAATATGAGTGCCAGACTCTCTCAGACTTGTCTAAGGTCTAGAGATGTGTGTATGTGAAAAACACATCCTTCTGTACACATCTGATTTTTTTTTTCTCAGTTTCTTTTGGTTATTTTAATGCATGATAATTCCCATGTTTTTAGAAGCATCCTTTTATGTAAGTGTAAAATTTAATTTTCAAATTACTCATAAATTCCCTTTAAATACTAATGTGGATAGCTGTAAGAGAGTTGTATATGTTTGCAACTAGACTGTTTAGGCATTCTGTCACTCACTCACAACAAATTGTGGTTGTAAAGGTGAAAGAAAGTATAAAAACAGTAACATAGTTCATGTGAAAATTTAGTACTTCAAAACAACTATAATGGTGCTGAAGATTATGATTTTTTAAAATAAGGAATTATTTTTTTTCCTATTTGTAGGGCATGCCAGGGAAAGCAGGACCTCCTGGACCTAAGGTAGTCTCAGTTTGGTAATAAACATATAAACTTCCTATTATGTGTAGCATTAATTAACTCATTTTATAGATGTTTTTAAAATAAAAAAAAATAACATCTGGGGATTTTTTTACAGGGTCTTATGGGACTGAAAGTAATAGGAACCAAAGGAAGAAAGGTAATAGTATAAAATGCTTAAAATATTTTTCAAGTTTTGTTTCTATTTTCTGCTTTTTCTGATATACTATGGTGAAATGTTTGGGGAAGTAAGTACTGTGAAATTAAAATTTTCAGTATAACCGAGTAAGCCTTATTGGAAAAAGGAGACATGGCAATTAATATGTAAGGACAAACTGGTTTCACATAAGAGCTAATGATATAAACTTCCTGATGGAAGGGTAGAAACCTAAGAGGAGGCAGTAGTTCTACTATTTACTAACACACAGCGTTATATTCATTTATATATAATTTGCTCAGTGTTCCTAAATGCTTACTGAAGCGTGCAAACACTGGGAAATACAGAGCATCTGTAGACTCACAGCTTCTTAGGGCCAAAGTCTTTTCTGTGTCAGCCTTTATGAAACTAGAAAACCTCCCATGTTTTGAATAAAAATGGGATGAGTTGTGCTTGCTTTGTACCCCATACAACTGACATGAAACTAGAACAGGCTATGAACACAACTGTGGTCTCTGAGGGCCTCAGCCTGCAGCCAGAGGAGCAGGGTGCTCAGTCTGAACGTCCTTACAGGATCCTTTCAGGAGCCTGGGGCATGTCACCCTTACACTAACTGGCCTGCACGGATTTGTCTCTCAGCTGGCACAGCACTGCCTGACAGTGGGATGGTCTTAAGTTTGTAGTTACTATGGGGAATGTGCCAATGTCTGTAAATAGAACTGGTTATTCATTAGCATTAACTCAGGTACCCATAGAGCACCTTGCTTCCTTAGGAAAGGAGATGCATTCTTTGCTGTCCCACTGTGAGCAAAGGCATTCCTCTGGCTTAAAATCAAGAGAAGTCATGGATGTTGTTTTGTTGAGCTCCACGGGAAAGATTACATATAGGACTTTCCCTGTTTTAAAAGATCCTTAGATGAAAAAATGTGCTGCACTATTAATGTTTTCATTTTTGGGCACACACAAGCTAATTTTATCTTTCAGCACTCTGTCACAGTCATCTCCCCATAACACACAAACCACACGTTTGAGGATGTCACCAAATACAGTTCATGTATTTCAGTGACTGAATAAAAGTGAGAGGAAAAATAGTGACCAAGGAGATATTTTTATTTGATTTAGAGTTAAAATGGTTGTGTAACTTTTAACAAATGGTATAAAAAATTTAAGCTAATCCTAGCTACTTCACCAGAAATCAGCATATGCATTTTTATATTTTTCAGCTAGGAGAAGGCTGTCAGAGTAGTCTTAAGGCTTCCAAATGCCCTTTTTATTGGAAGATAAATAGCAAGTGAAGAGAAATGTCAACTGTATTAACAGCTAAGTGTAATGACAGAAGAATTTTCAGATTGCCAAAAGTAGAGTGATAGTAATTTGAAACAATCAAAACACACCACTTGTGATTGCTCTGTATTTCTTTTTCCTCCCAAGGGTGACACTGGATTAACTGGACCCCCGGGGCCCCCGGGAACCGTTATTGTGACGTTAAGTGGCCCAGACAACATTACGGTACTGGAACTCTTAAACACCATATTCAGATAAGCTATCATACTAGATTTTACTTTGAGAGGATATTTTCATCTTCATTGTTCTTACACCATTTCCCTCTACCCATCCTAACTTTTTTCAGACTTGTTTAGCTAGATACTAAGCTCTTTGTAGAGTGTCTGTTCAGCAGCTCAGCCGAGGCCTGTGTGCTCACGTGCACATCTGCACAATGCTGGTGGAATGCTAAACACTTGTTAGTAACCCATCTCTGAGTACATGAAAAGCAAATCACTTCTAGCTTCACCAAATCAGCATGAGCTTTCTGAGTGGCTGTAAAAGCCACAGCTGGGCTCATCTCTGGACCTTCTCACTGGAAATACCAGGACTCTGAGCTATCAGAGTCTCAAAAAAGCTTACTTACAGCATATTCATGTGCATTTCATAGTTTATTTTCTCAGTGTTTTTCCTGGAACATGAATAATCATGGAAAGTGTTGGAAAAACAGTGAGTATTGAAGAAAGTAAATACTCTGGTTCAGCTTTCAGTTTCATTACTGCTTTGTGAATTAAAACTCTTGCATTTTGTCTTTACACAGAACTTAAACAGCAGTAGTTGATACACAGTTTTAGGTCTTCACATATTAACAGGACAAGTCTTCAACCTGGTTTTGAGTCTTGTTTTCCTTGTTTAACTTGGATCTAATCCATGGAATTATCAAACTACTCCTCCATTATGTGCTAAAATAAAACGTGCACTTTGCATCAAGACTGCATTGAGGAGGGAAGGGCAATATTGCAGAAGCTGCAGGCACAGCAGCTCTTCCCTGTGTAACTCAAATACAGACCACCTGGAGCTGTGGTGGTTTATCACAGGGGAATGGTAATTTTTCACAGACATGAGGCATTAAGGTTTAAAAAACCCTCAAAAATCCTTACATAAGTAGTTTGGAGCATGAGTCTAACCAGGTGATAATTAGGTAGTCCATAAACTTTGGCTTTACAGTGACCTCAGGCTGTGTTCCAGTACATAGTAGTACCACAAGTAAGGGCAAGTGAGTCTGGAGCCTGCAGACATAAGGACGGTGTGGGCAGCTGCTGCAGTTACATGTAGGTAACTAGCTCCAGTGAAGCAACTAAGTTTATTTGTTTGATTTCTTTTTTTTCTTGCAATTTATTGCCGTTTCTGGAGATATTTTTTGCAGTTCCCTTGCATGCAATTATAAGTAGGTTGTCTTGAACTTTCTGTGTACAGAAATAATATGTGCAGAGCCAGTTTCTTTTTCAAACATCATAGACTTAGGCAGGAGTGCTGATAGGAAGTTTCTAAGTTAGTTAAGTAGAACCACCTCTGTGAAGCTTCCCAGCAACTAAAGGATTTCCTGCTTGTAAAACTTTAGTGTTAGTGTAAGCACAGATGAATCCAAGAGACCTTATTAAATTTTTATTTTCTGGGTAACAGGACTTGAAAGGAGAGAAAGGAGAAAAAGGATCAAGAGGATTTCCAGGGCCAATGGGGTTTACAGTAAGTGACCAGAAATAAATCCTTTAAGTCCAAATGTCCAGGCAACATCACCTAGTAAATGCTATTCTTTAGAGCCCTGTATTTATGCTACTTATTCCAACATTTAATGAATACAATTTAATGAATAGAATACCTATTAACAGCATTCTAATGAACATAAAATTTTTATAAAACATGTGCTCAATTTAGAAAATATGTCTCAAAATATATGTATCTTGAGGGTGGTTTTGTTACAGGGACCAGTTGGTGATTCTCAAAGTGAAAAGGGTGACCGTGGAGAACCTGGACCACAGGTATGTGCAAACAGTTGAATACACACGTGTTAGTCTTTCCTGAAAAGCTGTTTTGCACCAGTGTTGCTCTGAAGTTTCAACACCACTCAGAGCAAGTTTTCATAGATTCAAAAACTCTTTCATCCAGTGAAGCAGACTAGAGAGCTGAAAGTCAAATGACTGTTCTTACAGGCTCACATACCATGAGTACATGATGTAAAGTTCAGCTGATGGTGGATGCCCTTCTATATGTTGTGCTGTAAAGGTTCTACTGTTGAAACTTAATAAAAAAAAAAAAAGTGCTCTTCTGAACACATACTGGCATTATAGTGACACTGTATATGTAGAAGAGAATTGAAAACATTTGGTTTACTTAAGGCAACAGATGTAAATTAGTATGTCCAGACAGCAGGTAGGTGGAGGTATGAAGAAAGTTGTCGTAAGAGTTGTTCTTTCAACAAGATCATCTGAGGAACAAATCATATGTTTATTTTACAAAGCATACGAATAAAAATATCATTTACTTGAGTATACCTACACTTTGAAGAAGGTTAAATAGAAAGTTACCAATCAAATACATTCAAATAGCTTTCAGACTTTCAGATAAAAATGAATCAATGAAAAATGCAGGTGCTTAGGAATGAAAACTGTATGAGTTTGTAACAGTTTGCTGGAATGTAATCTGGGGAGAACGCTGAATTGTTCAAATTAATCAAAAGGTTTCTGATGTTTTCTGAAGAAAGCATTTTGATTCCAAATACACTTGGAAAGCACTATTGAGAAAAAAAAATTTCAAATAAAATATTTCAGTCTAAACATAGATATTTTGAAACTTTTCCCATATTCTTGTGGTTGCACTACATACAGTTACATGCACAGGATTTAGTTGTTAGGTTCTTTGAATGCAATCACTCCTCTTTTGATCTCAGTTTTTTTTTGTTAACATTTTTCCTTTGTAGGGTAAACCTGGAAAAGAAGGTCCCCCAGGTCCACCTGGCTTACTGGTAAGGAAAGAAGCCATCTAAACGTTTTCTAAGCAATAGTTGTCTGTTCATTGCAGCCGTATCTTCCTGTCACAGCTTTATCCCACTGCAGAATGTATTTCAAAATGTTGATTTGCACATACTGTGTAACAGTGACTTTCACACAGCTGGCCTGGGGACATACCACGTCCTTATGGTTTTATATGGGAGAGAGACTGCATGAGAGAGCTGTGGTACTTCACACAGACATGGAACTGTCCCCAGACTGAGTATTTCCATGAGATTTCTTCCCCTGAACAAGTCACATTCACCTTGAAATTGCCATGAAAGATTAAAGCTTTCCTTTTTAGATCTTTCTGATAACAGTGCTAAAAGATTAATCCCCGTAAAACCGTGTACTGTCACTTGCAGGGACAGAAGGGTGAACAGGGCAAACCAGGACTGGCTGGCAGGCAAGGAGCTAAGGTATTGTCTGATGGGTTTGTTGTTGCTTTTGAGGATGAGAATAAGGTATGTTTTGGGTTATTGCATCATTTTATTTTTCACTCTGTATATAATCTGTTTTATGTTACCTAACAGAGAACAAGTCATGGCAAGTAATGAATAGGGAATGGATCAGCTGGAATGAATCATGTGTCAGGAGCACTGTCCATCTATGTCTACTGATGTATTCCTGTGGTTTTGGGTGTATGTGGCCGAGTTGTGTAATGAACAGGGACAGGGATGGTGAAAGACAGGTCAGGAGCAGAAGTTCTTTGATGTTATAGGCAATGTACTGAAGTAACAGTGGGTACCAAATGTCACGTCATGTGTTGTTTATATTAACCCCATCTCTGTCCTTTGATGAAGGGGATGAAAGGAAACACTGGTCCACCTGGAGCTTGTGGTCGAGTAAGTGTAGATTATCTTAATCCTATCATTTTACTAAGCCATTCGAATAAGAATAAGCCAAACTGATTGTATGAGACAGTAACAAATGTCCTGTCATGCTGTAACGGAGGCATGAGTTTGTCAGAGTACTGATGTTGCTGTGAGTCTCACAGAGATGGCACCTTCCTTCACGTGGAGGTGGATTCACAGACAGGGCCTGGTTAGACCTCAATCAGTTCCAGTGATTTTGGCAGGAGATTGGACTGTCACAGAACAGTTACAAGAATTCACAGGAGTTAATTTTTAAAGCAGTCTTTAATCAGTTCAGAACAAGTGATGCTAATTTTAAACTCATGAACTTTTTTTTTTTAAAAAAAGCAAGTAAGAGATGCTATGAGTTTATGAGTTGTGCTGTCTTGCTAGTGGCTTTCTTTAAGGCCCCACACACACCTCATAAAACCTGCTGGTAATTACTATGTGATAGAAAGGTCTCATGGTGCCACAGAATCAAAATTATGTCTGTCATAACACTATTCTAAAAAATATTCTGTATGAGGTACAGTGCTTCTCTCTTCATTCTTACTGTTTGTTCTTTTCTGACTATCTTTCTCCTAAGACGGAGTATTATGACAGTGTGGTGGGTGAAAAAGGAGATGAAGGACTGCCTGGACCTCCAGGACCGAAAGGTCAACGTGGCATGCCTGGTGAGTGAGACATCAAAACCTGCAAGAGCTGTCCACTCGAAGGGCTCGTTGCAGGGTAGGCTTTTGGACACCCAGCAACCTGCTTCTGCCATGACAAGAATGTTTCCCGATTACTCCCATCAAATTGCAGAACTGAAACATATCCTGAGACTTTGATTTATAGCTATATTTCCTCTTAGAAATAATGAAGCTGGCACAATATTTAGGACAGATATTTGAGTCAAACACCTAAATTCATGGACATCCTGTCTTATGACCTCAGTGCACTACTGCATCAGCACATTATTTGTATATGCCATAGACAGACCATCAGGGCTGAAAGCCTCCTGTTAAAGGTCATGCACTTCTTAATATTTTTTTTTGAGCTTTCATAGTTTCTCTTATAACATTTTTATTGTCTGTCACTCAAAAATAATAACAATATGCAAGTTTTAGTTTGCTTATTTTGGCCATGTTATAAAATTAAAATGTACTGATCTATTATTTGAGCTGTATCAAAGTCTAACAAGGACTTGGAGCCTGAACTCTAAGGCAGCAGCTTGTAGTTGCATAAGCAGTAGATGCCTACTCAGGCTAAACCAAATATTTAAAAGAGAATATAATCTTAAAATGCAGAAGCCCATAGCTGGCAGGCAGTATTAATGCATAGTGACTTTGCAGGGTATGCAGTGGTTTAAGTCAAGTGTTACGTGTGTTGTTTTTGCAGGGCCGCAGGGTCCTCCCGGAGCTGCTGGCAGACCAGGTATGTGTCATGATCCAGCACCAGGAGTAAAATAGATTGTTCTTCCTGTCCATTAGACTGAATTAGTTTTGAGTAACCTTAACTTCAGATGACTTTGAACATATCTCTAAGAGGTAAAAAACTGTCATCCAAAAGCTTTGATGGGCCAAGTATTTAGAGAGGTTAAACATAATGTCTTTACATTGTCATTGTGACTATTTAATATATTACATCAAAAACATTTGTGAGATGAACTCAGTGCATTTGTCCCTCAGTCATCCTCTGAATACTTACTTTGCTTTGAAATTCTATTTCTTTTGTAACTTTACTTTTGTATGTTTTCCTCTTTGGTTAGGTGTGTCAAGGCCTGGTCGGAGAGGTCCCCCAGGATATCCTGGGCCAAAAGGAACAAAAGGAGAGAAAGGACAAACTGGCTTGTGTATTGTGGGCCCCCCAGGACTGCCTGGTGTTACTGGCAGACCTGGTTCTGTTGGATTACCAGGTCCTCCAGGAGAACCAGGTGATATTTCAGTATTGTATATATCAAGAACAAATCCAGAGTCATCTCAATATCTGATGTATGAATTATGTAAAATAAATTTTCCTTCCATTCATGGTAAAAGAAAGAATTATGTTGCTGTTGATTCAAATAAAATGGAAATATTTTCCCCAGAAGAGACTATGTCTTTTAAGGCCAGACAGATAGATCCAGCAGTCTGCTGAGATTTGCTTTGGCAATACCGTATTTATCCTCAAGTACTTCCAGTTACAGGTGTTTTGGATTTTTCCAGGTAGTTCTCTATTTTAAATGAATCACAGAATCTCAAGTTGGAAGAGACCTGTAAGGGCCAGAATACTGTCTGCATCTCATCCCTGCAACTTCTTTCACTCCTATCAACTGAAGAATTGTCTGAATAATCTGTTGAGGTAATGGTGCAACGTTCTTGTCATTGACAGGTAGAGTGACATTTCGAACAGCCCCGCCAGGACCTCCTGGAGAGCCAGGGTGCATAGGACCTCCGGGACATCCAGGAGATGTTGGCATGAAAGGTGAGTTTCAGAAGTGTCACTCAGAAGCATATGGTTCAATCCAGTAATCTTCATGGATCCTCGTGAAATTTTTTATATAATTTACCTCTTAAGCCATTTGATGAGTTCAGAGATGTAAGAAAATTCACTGGGGATGCCAAGATCTCTTTCTCCCCTTACAGCAAAGAGCAGCTAAAAGAGCAAGGCAGGTGCCAGTGCTGCACACTGGTGGGACAGCACTACAGCAGGATTCAGGTCTTAACAGGAACAAATAATTATTAGATTGCTGGGGGCTTTGTTTTCTCCTATTACATTCAACGCTAACAGTCGTTCTCTAAGAGAAGGTTCCTTTTGCAGATTTCACCACAGGAGCTGCTGAATTTCTGCCACTTGCTAGTCATTGAAATTATCCAGAGCTCTTATGGAGCCATGTTAGTTTGAAGCCTATGTCCCTTTCTTCTTCTGAGAGATTTTCCTCCTCAGTGCAGTGACTGCATCCAGGTGGATGACTAAAACTGGTCTTGAAAAGAACCAAGAGATTTTAAACTCAATGTTCTTGCTTTTTCAATTAGATGTAATCAGTTCTGATTCACTGTCTGACTGCATGTAATTTTGTACTGTGCTAGAAGTGATCTTCCGACAAAATTAAGGCCCTGATTCTACTGCTCTCTGGCCAAAAATTTTTAGTCATCCTCTATAACAAATTCTGTGACACATTAATTAAGCTTGCGAATGACTTGCTAATTGATGATTTTAATTACAGGTGATGAAGCTTTCCTGTGTACTGATTGCAGCTATTTTCCAGGAATACCTGGTCTTCCTGGTTCTCCGGGGCCACATGGCCTGGATGGCACACCTGGTAAACAATCTTGTGGTTTCTAACAGGACAGTGGGAATTGCCAGTGATTTTGGTTTTAGCATGAGAATTGGGTATGGGCATGTCTGTAGCATGCAGTCCTTGAACTAGTCCCGAGGCTGGGCTGAGTGTGAGAGCCTGATGCAGCTCCAGCCACTGACAGGAAACAAGCCCTAAAAGCAGTCCAAGTGCTTGTAGGCTTAGGTGCAGCCTGAAGCCAGGACAGTCTTTGATGCAGTCAATGTAACAAGCAGGAACAGTCAATGCTGGCTGTGACTATTGGAGCTTGTCAAAATCCATGTCCTTGTTTTCATTTTTCTTAACAAACTGTGCTGTTTCTTTTGCAGGTAGAGAAGGAACAACAGGTCCAAAAGGTTCTCCAGGTTCTCCAGGAGCACCAGGGTTTCCAGGAGCTCAAGTAAGACTTTGGCTTGTCAGATTATTTTTCAGATCCCACAAGAAACCTCATGGCTGTTGTTGCACACAATGTCATACTGGGTGATCTGAACTGTTTTCTTACTGTAATGATGTGTGTGTCTGCATGGGAGGCTGAGGTAGAGAATGTGTGATGTATGGCTGACCTAGCTTTCCATGAGCATCTTCTGCTCAGTGCAGCAAGAAGTTCAGCCCAAGCAGTGAGGCAGGAAATTAGCTGTGTGATTATGAAATGCTGCAGCACAGGTTAATGTCTAGGCTGCTTCTTCTGCCTTGTATGGATAGTTTACTGTTAACTTCTGTTCATCTACCTAATTCTGTAAGCACGGCAGTGGCTGTAAAGCATATAGAGAGTTTTACGTGCTGCCATCTTCATCAGACTTCTTACTTTTGTTGTTTCCGGCATACATGGGACTTGTGAAAGCCCCAGCTGAGCAGAGAAACTTGTTTCTGCTATGAACCTCTTCAGGGGTGCAAAGGACATTACCTCATGGGAGGCATTATGAAGAGGGAAGGATGACACCTGCCACTGCCAACATACCACTTGGTTGTTCTAACTTGTGCCTGTAGTGGGAATTATTTATGAGAAGTTACAGTCAGCACTGTCCAATAAAAAATATCATGCACAAGTAGTCATTGTAGTGGTTGCTGTACAGATGCAGCATGAGTCTGTTAGCAGGCTTTTCCAGAAGGCTCCTGAGAGTTCGTGAGCCAAAGATCAATAGAGCTCAGTGTACTGGGCTTGTACTGGTGTTGGCTGGGATAGAGTACCCACTTCTTACCCTGAGGGGGAGAGAAGGGAGAGGAGAAGTTAACTTCAATCAGAGCAAAGTGTGGCACTTAGTGTCCCTGGGGAGATATTCCTGCAGGGAGGCGAAATCTCTAATTAGATTTTAAGGTACTTTCTTGTCCTCCTTTCTGTGCCAGGAGAACACAGCCAGGTAGCTAACAGTCTGATCCATTGAATGGTCCTGTATTATTCCTGCTTATATTAGCATTAATGAAATGATAATTGGGGCCAAAAGGAGTAAAGTCAGGAGGAAAAAAACAAAGCAAAACACAACAACGACAACAACAAAAACAAAGCAAACACCACCACCACAACAACACTCAAAAAAATCTTGTTCATTGAAGTGTGCCATTAAAATCAATAGAGATGAGAGTAGAGCGAGCCGCTCTCTGGTATTTCATTTAAGAAGAAAATGGTGGACATATGTCTAGCACTGAAATTCTTTCCATTTCTCTGTTCCAGGGACCTCCAGGTTTTAGAGGAGATCAAGGACGTAAAGGATCAAAAGGTGAGCCAGGATATGTGTATCCAGAAGGGCAAAAAGGTGAGCGAGGAGATCCAGGGGCCCGTGGAGACAGAGGAAGGAAAGGTTCAAGTGGATTTCTGGGAAGACCTGGCTCTAAAGGATCCAAGGGATCTAAAGGCAAAGAGGTGGGTATGTGCTGTAGGCAAGTCATACAGAATTCATGAAAACCTACGTCACTATTTCTGTCTCGTACAACAGTCTGTTTTATCTATTCAGATACTTCAACTGAATATCCTCTACCTGACTTAGAGGTACTGTGCTCCAATTATAGCAACCCGTATGCATAACCAATATGCATGGAAGAATTAGAGTAAAAATTCTTAAGTACTACCAGAGAGAGATGAGGTCAGTGTAGGTGCATGTTGCTGAAAAGCTTTGGCAGTCTATTGTGGTGTTAGTCTGAACATTTATATCTAGGATTCCTATGATGAGTAAGATAAGATTTTTTTTTTTTTTTAAAGACAGTTTACCTGACTACTTACAATGCTTAAAAGGAAATTTTAAGTTCAGTTAGTTCAGTTAGTTCCTGTTCAGTGTTTAGGAGTTACAGGGCTGAGAGAAACCACAAAAAAATGGGAGGACTGATTGTAAAACTAGCATTGTTAGGGCAGAGTTCTTCATTCAGCAGCAACCAAAAATAACAATTATTGTTGTTTTGTGTTGGCTGAGAAGCTGTTAAAGTTATTCAGATGTAACTGTCTCTAAAGCTGACTCCACAGTATTCAAGGAGAATCAGAGCTGAGGTGTTTTGTGTTTTGGGTTTTTTTTTTTACCAAATATGTTTTAAAAATAAAAGTTTACAGTGTAATGCACCACAATTGAAAAATCAAGCTATTGTATTTATTTCTACTATTTTACTCTTGATAGCCCTCTTTTTCTAACTATTGATGTCTATATTCTTTTAATCACAAATAAATTGGAGGAAAAATTCCTCCTAAATTAGCAGAGCTACTCAGTTACTAAAGTAATGCAAAATTACAATCAGGCAGAAGATGGGGCATTTTGTTGTGAAAGGTGGTGTGGGAAGCAAGTAATGCCTGCTATATACCTCTGTGTAACCATTAATAGGGACTGGCTGGTTCTAAAGGAGATAGAGGACTCCCTGGATTGCCTGGCAGTCTTGGTCTTCCTGGAGAGATGGGGCTTCCTGGACTGCCAGGGTATGGACCACAAGGAATAAGAGGTTTCAAAGGCTCCAAAGGAATACCTGGCCCACCTGGATTCCCTGGAGAAGCTGGTTTGTAGCTTCTTGTTTTACCTATGTTAAAGAGCACTTGATTGAAATTGCAAAGATAGGTTGATGTCAAAGATAATTTATGAAAATAACGTTTTTCTCACTCTGACATTTCTGTATCATTGTTCCAACTTTGGTTCCAGTGGAGATAATAGCAAAAGTCTTAGGGTCATAGGATTATTGAGGTTGGAAGGGACCTTATGAGGTCTTTAGCTCAAAATGCTTCTCAGAGCAGGGTCAGCTATGAGATCAGAACAAGTTATTCAAGGCATTATCCAGTTAGGCCTTGAAAACCTCCAAGGACAAAGATGGCACATAATCTCCAGGCAATCTGTTCCAGTGATCGTACCTGTCCTTATCATGGGAAAAAAAAGTCTTTAAATATGCATCCAGTCATCATCATCATTAGTGTGAGCTAAGTCATCAGGGGAACATATGAAGGGCTTAACTTTTGAGTGCTGAAAACATACCAGTGTATGTATTTATAGGTAAGCAAAATGCAGAAGAACTCCTAAGTTGGGCAGCAGATGAAGTCAAGGTATCTTAAAGAGAACACCCATTAAACCTCTATGAAATGGAGTTGCAGATGAAGTGTTTCTCAATTGCATCATTTCCTTGCTGTTTGTTTTTCCTTTTCTGGGTCTGAAGTAGGCTGTAGGAGGGCTGAGAGGGAGACTGCAGGTGGGCTTGGTGTCAATAAAATACTTTTGCTTTATGATGCCGAGATCTCAAGTCTTTCCAAAGTCTGTTGAGTTTCAGAAATAAGGGAACTATAGAAGACTGCATTTTTAACTGAGTGGATTGATCACTAATGTTTTTAAATGCTCAAGATGATGTATTGCCAAACTAAAAGCCTTTGTAATCTTTTTGTGTTTGCTGAAGGTCTGAAAGGAGAGACCACTAGGGTAACCCCATTACCTGCATTGCCAGGACCTCAAGGACCAGATGGTTTACCTGGACCCCCAGGGGTGCCTGGTGAGTACATTTGCACTAAATACAGTAAAAATCAGAAATACTCTGATTGGGATTTCTCTACTAGCTCTGGCCAGAAAAAAAAAAAAATGTTGGGTTACTTTGAAACAACTCTAAAAAGGATTTCTGTGATACAGAAACTATGGAATTATCTGGAATGTCCCCTTTCAAGAAAACTGAGGGAAGTAGATGTGGATGGGAAGGGCACATGGGGCCATGTCTGTGGTGTGCAGTATGGCAGAGAATCCAAGCAGATTCCTTGAAGAACCAGAGCCATCTGGTGCATAAGCTGCAGCTTGTAGATCCAGAAAGCCACCTCTGGCATACTTTGGACAAAAGCTTGTCTTGCTTTGATACGGTGAACATAATTAGCATTTTAAATGTGAAAACTTGCTGTGGAGGAGGAATAGTGTCTAAGTTGTCAAATAATCTCCAGTGGTTTCATAATGAATAATGATAAACTATAAAACACCTGATCTTACCTATGGTAAAAGACATCATAGTTCGGTTTTTTTTTCTTTGTACAGGTAGGGTTGGAGCAAGAGGTCAGCCAGGTGATTCAGGACATCCAGGGCCAACAGGTGACACAGGCTTTCCAGGGCTTGGGTTTCCTGGAAACCCAGGTCCAAAAGGTAAAATACTCTTTTGGATAATCATCTTCAAAAAAAATAACCCCCTAAAAAAAAAACCAACACTTTTTTTTTAGTCCCTACCAAAAACAATTAAGTCTAAAAAAAATCACTGACCATTAATCAGACAGGCAAGTGGGTTTAGTACGCTTGTAATTTACTGTCTTAAGCCTTATAAACTGCAAGTTTGAAATATTTTGAAGCACTTCAGAGCATCAAGGCTGAGAGCTGGCTGCTCAAAGCAGGTGCAGCCTGTCCGAGTGCTGCGCTTACTTCAGGTGGATTCTCTTTACCTGGGTGTGTTAGACGGAGCTGTCTAAGTGTCAGTGCTGCATTTTTAATCGGTCTTGGTTGTGCCCAGTGCAACCTCTGCTCCAATTTGTGGGTAATAGAAAGCATTTTGAATACTGTGCATTTGGCCATTCCTCATGCAAAGTTATTCCCCTTTATGGACACTAGAAATATTAAGAGTTTCTCATAATCCTGTCAGGATAGGGAGGAGCGGGAAAAAAACCCAAACAAAGCTCTGAGAGAATAGCAGGGAACTGACATCAGAATAGCTTCACTAAAAAAAAAAAAGACACATTAAGTAACTGATATGAAGCAAGCAGTGTTTACAGTCAATGTTTAGTGACTGTGTAAGGAACAGTAAGAGATCTGGTCAGGAAAG